CTTGCCTAGTAATAACTATCTCACTACGTATTGTACTCCTAACAAAAATGCACAACCCTTTACCATTACAGTTTCTGTCTGCCCTAAATAGGCGATAATTGTTAATATTTAAAACTGAATTATTAATGGATTGCTTCAGCCACGACTCACATATTAAAAATATGTCAAATTCATTTTGTAATATAATTTGCTTCAAATCATGTATAGAGGGCAATAATGATCTAGCATTGGCACAACCAACTTTTAACAAATGCATTTTCAAATCTTTACATTAATGATAAAGATACTTTATTTCCCAGTTATAAAGTAATAAAACTAAAGTAATTTAAAATTTTACAAAAATTAAACGTATTTTTATTTGATTTATCTATATAATAAAAACGGTACACCAAGGAGTGTATCAATTGCACGCAAGTTGCTGGTGCTGCAAAATTATATTATTTTTAGTTAACATGCCAAATTTATACTAGTAAATATTTGTATATTTAAAATTAAGAGAAAAAAAATTAACAAAAGCTATATTTAATATTCTTACTTGAGATATTATTAATTCTATTTGTGTTCGTTTTTGTAAATAACTTTGTAATAAATTATATAGGGTGCATCACATTCATACAATAAACTTCTATTATACGAAAAAAACGGCATATGATATAGTTAGTAAATAATCTATTTACTTATAAACTTCAACCGGACCACTTTTATTGTTAGAACAGCTGTTGGTAGAAGTTCTATTCTTGGTTTTGAGGTTCGATCAAAACAATCTGCTTTAAAATGGTCTGAACACAAAAAATTAAGGTATTTTGGCTCACAATTTGTTTGTTGCATGAACTCAAGTAATAACTTTGTTTTTTGAGAATCTTTAGGAAATCTGAAAATTCTCTACCTGGCATTAATTTATATAATTTGTTAATCTAGAATCTTTAAGAAATCTGAAAATTATTTACTTTCAATCAATTTAAAAATCTAAATTGAACAATAAATTATTCATTTAAACAACCACATAAATATCTTAAAATTGCATAAAAAAATTGTTTAAATAAAAGTATGTATACCCTATAAACCATGAGACTACGCCTATGAGCACAGTTGATCGCAGACGCACTTACCATGTTTGTTTACAAATTTAAAACATTAAAAATTTAAAAAATCTTTAATGTGGTTGAAAATTAAGAGAACAAAATACTTGCTTATGAAATGTAGATTATTCCTTTCTATTTTTAGCTGTGCTGCTATATCCACAAGACGAACAACTGACCATATTGTCTTTTTTGTCTTTTAACGCGGAAAATTTAAAATTAACAGTAATGTCTATATACGCTTGATAAAAGTTTAAATTAACACATAGAACATCCAAATTATTAACAAATTTTATTCACTAAAATTATAAAAAATTTAGAAACCATTTATCATATGATGATGAGTCATCCATAGTACAACATGGCTACCACTTCCGTCAGATCGATTAGATTGATGCACACATGGCATGCTCCTTCCTGACTATATATGTTTTAAGGTTAGATTTGCCACTAAAAAAACTATTAAATATTTTGTTGGAGAAATAAAGGAGATGCTGTCTGATAATGAATTCACCATATCTTTCTTAAGGAAATATGGAGAAAACAAGTTAATTTTTCCCAATATGGAAGACGTATCCACTGTAAAATATTTTTATTTAAAACTGATATGAACCTGTATAAGGTGAATTAAGAATGCACGTTCTATTTCTCTTTTATTAAGGTTTATTTTTAAGAAAAATTATTTTTGTTTCCTTTTATATTTTTGTAACTATTCTCTGAATTCTGAATGAGTTACCTTTTACTTTTTAAAAGTTTGCATTGTTTGTAACTGTTGGAACTGTTTTGGATATTTTGACACAAACATCTCTACTCAAATGTCATTTGTCGTTTATGCCTTGTGTCAAAAGTTCCAATTTCATTTTCATTTGGATCTGTCAACGAATCAAGTTCATTTGAATTTTGGCCATCCGATGTACAAATTGATTTCTAATATTCTTATTGGCCGTCTGATTTTATAAGGTAAGCTTTAATACCGATATATTGTTGAAAATATATATTTTGTACAAGAGTTTCTTAAATGAAATGTAAAATTTTAAACATAACCTCAATACATGAATAACACATGGATAGCACGTTTTATACAGGGTGTTATTGAAATACACGTACATATTAAAATGGGGAATAGTATGTAATGACCAAAAACGATTGGCACCAATTTTAACTTCAAATTCTAAAATTTAAATATTGGGCAAGAGTCCCCTTTTCCGACCTACTAGTTTCCATATTTAAAGAAGTAAAATAAATCGAAATTGAACTTACCCATAGAAATTGCACTGTTGCCGTAACAAAACCAATTAATTCAAAATAAAGTTTATCACAGTAATTGTTCAAAATGCCGTCCATTATTATTTACACACACTTGCAATCGTCTTTCCAAAGAACTTTGAACATTAGAAATTAGTCTTGGATTTTGTCGTAGTTCCTCGGCTACCGCATTAACTTTATTGGTTAATTGTTCAACACTATTAATAGGTTCATTATAAACCAGTTGTTTCATGTGACCCCACAAAAATAAATCGCATGGATTAAAGTCCGGAGATCTCGGAGGCCACTTAGTAGGTCCATTTCTGCCTATCCACTTTAGAGGAAATCTAATGTTCAAAAACTGCCGTACGTTTAAATCAAAGTGAGGAGGAGCGCCATCTAGTAGGTACCACATCCGTTGCCTTAATTGTAACGGTATCTCTTCTAGGAGTACTGGCAAAATATCTTCTAAAAAGTGGAGATATCCTGGCCCATTTAATCTGTTCGGGAGAACATAAGGCCCGATTAAATACTGATCTTTATGTCAGCCCAAACATTTATTGAAAATTTTCTTTGATGCCCAGTTTCCCTAATGGCGTGAGGATTTTCATCACTCCAAATATGCGTATTGTGCATATTGAACACGCCATCACGAGTGAATGAAGCCTCGTCAGTATACAATAATATTTTTAGAAAATCAGGAATATCAACACATTTTTGAATCATCTATTCACAAAACTCTACTCTCTTTTCTTCATCACCTGGATATAAGGCCTGGACTTTTTGGATGTGATAAGGATGTAAACCTTGTTCTTTAAGTGTCCGCCACACAACAAATGAGGACACTCCAATTTCAAGACCTAGTCTTCTACAACTTAATTGAGGCCGGTTTTCAACAGCTTCCAATATTTCTTCTTCGGCCGCCAATGTTCTTTGTGTTCTTGTTCTCCCTCGATCTGCATTGACACTCTCAAATTTTCCATGGTCTCTTAGATGCTGAACAGTTGAAATAAACGTACGACAGTCCGGAATTCTCCGATTTGGAAACCGTTCGCGATACAGGATTTGTGCTTGCCGAGAATTTTCTCCAGCTGCCCCATAAACCAGCACTATATCCGTTAGTTCAATATTCGTAAATAGTGGCATCGTAAAAAAATATTTAAAAGTAATCGTAACAACACTTTTTACCAACTTGGAAATGACGCGCTCGTGTTAGCCAGATTCGTAAATCAACTAAAATTTTAATAATCTATAGTTTCAAAAATGTATAGTTTAAAAACAATCATTTATCAAATATTCTAGTTTTTTGATAACGAGGCTGGTAAAAACCAGTCTTCGGAAATAGAAATTAATTCGAAAATCTTGGCAACATGGTTATTTCTTACAAGACTAGTTTTCTTATCATCTGACAAAAACTTGCATATGAATTACTGTTGATGTTTAAAATAGGTAAATAAACCTAATTTATATAGGTCATCCTCAACATATCAGTGAAGTACGTTTGTTTTAGAATTAATTTTCAAAAATTAATAACTCCCTTAATAAGGGGTATTTTTAAAAAATAATATTTTTCTACATTCAGTGGGGATCTGCGCAATACCCAGTTTTAATATGTACATGTATTTCAATAACACCCTGTATATTATTTTGTTTGGAAGATATATTATGCTTTACTATATTTAAATAAGTTAAATAAGATTTTTCTTTTTCATACTAATTTTAGTCTCTGTGAAATTATTCACATATTTTTGAGTTGTTCAATTGTTGGTTAAAAGCATTTTATCTAGTTCCTGTGCAAATTTCCTATTTCCTTTCTTAACATTTTTACCATTTCCTTTTAGCTTGGCTATATCTAGACGATTTAGTTCGAGTTATATCTAAAGAAGTTTAGTTCGAATTATATCTAAAGAAGTTTAGTTCGAGTTATATCTAAAGAAGTTTAGTTCGAGTTGTATCTAAGAAGTTTATTTCAAGTTGTATCTAAGAAGTTTATATCAAGTTTATATCAAAAAGTTTATGAAGATTTATACCTAAGAGTTTGGTGCCATCCGAAGACTGAGGTTTGGTTCACCTATAGAAGATCGTTCAAGTCCAGCATTAAGAATAAGAATCCCTTTGAAGAAGGCCTAATATACCATGCAAATCACCCCAATATAACTACCTCCTGTTATAACAGATAAGTTTTCCTTTAATAAATCATTTAAATTTGAATAAATAAGTCTCTGTGAATTCGAATTTGTCGCTTCCTTATCTGGAACCTTATTTAATTATAATATCTTAATGGTTAGTGATTTTTTATATTTTTATCACTAATCTATAGTCAAGTATAGTAAGTTTTAAATATAGTGGTGCCCAACTTCTTTTTTAAGGTAATTCAAGTTATTTAACAATCTGACCCACTCCCAAAATCAATTGAGCTTAAAACACTATAACAAATAGATAAAATAACAAGTATCACGTTACATGTTATAAACTATTTTTATATTTTTTTATACATTTTTTCTATCAGAGTAATTATTAAAAACTAAAATTAAATAGTTTGTTTTTGATTTTTACCTGTTGAAAAGTAGTGACCACAATTTCAAGAAATAATAAATGACACACTATATGACAATTTATTGCTTTACTCCAAAACAAGGCATAGTCCTTTGAAACTAAGTAAAAGTTCTTTCAGATGAAATAATTAAAAGAAGATAAATTTAATTACTAAATGCGCAAAATCCAAATAAGAAAAAAGATTACCACTTTTGGATGGTTTCCCCTAGTGAGGTATAAGCTTTGTGGGTTAACCCACCCTCCACACGTTAAAGATAAGTAAATTTAACTTTTTTAATCAAAAAAACATACATAAAGGACAAAAATCTAGGACATATAAATATTAGTACATATAAAACAAATAAACAAAAAATTATTATAATGAATAAAAATGGATTGCATAGGTACCCATCAATTTATCAAAAATGTTGAATTACCCAATGGTATTTTAATTAGTTCAGGATTAAATTTACTGCGACTTGAAATTCTCTATATATTTTTACTACAATGTGTACAATTGCGGTTTGTGAAAACGGTAAAAATATTAATTACAGGATCCTTGCGCCTTAAATTGTATCATTACAATTAAATAAGAAGTTATTCCACTGATTAAACTTGGAATTAGTTGCTTATTCATATTAAAAAATCCCGAAATGGAAAAACTCATAGGCAATGCTTCTACTAAATTTGCTAAATCATTTAAGTTCTCTTTGCTTCTTGGTTCTTGAACTTCTGTTTGTAATATTCTACACATTGTTTGTAATTTTACTCCAGCATTTACAACATTTTCGCAAGATATGATGGAACGTACGACAAAAAACTGAAACAAACATAAATTTTAATAATAATAATACATTTTATCTATTTATGTACATCAAAAATATGAAACATATTTGACTGAAAAATAAATATGAAATAAACTAAGTACAGTACTGTACAAATTCCAGACGCTCTACATTTTAATATTATAAAAACTAAAAAAAAGTAGCGCTAAATAGCGTCATTTCTGAAAATAAATTTCTAAGAAATATCGACTTGAAGTCTATCTTACTCTTTGAATCTACCTTTTATAGAATCACGCATACTTAAAAATAGTTGTTGCTTTACATTGCTGTCACAATTAATTGCGAACTTTCCTGAAAATCACCTTCGACTATGATAGTTGCAGCGAAAAAATTCATTAAACTGATAATAACTGGCATTAAGAATGCAAAAAATATAATACTAACGTAATTTTGGAAGCCTTTTGTGCGCTTTAGAGTCTTATGTTAAGTTAATACCGAATTATATTCCACGCCTAGTTCTCATTGATCATAGGTATTACCCCCTTTACCCGCTCTGCATCCACGTATTTTAAAGCCTAAATATACTCAAAAGTATTTAGAAAGTTCCAAAATAACAACTGGATATGCCAGTCCTTCCCACCTCTGCTCCCGTCTCGTTGGTCAGATATACTCTTACGTCATTCTTTCTTTTCGTACACTTGTGTATAGTCCGCTGCAATTTATAGTAGAAAATCGTCTCGCTTTAAACATGAAGGAAGGTTGTGTATTAGCCGAAACAGGGACGGTGCTCTCAAATGGACTTTCTGTTTGGGGAACAAACATGATAATATTAATATTTCTTAAGAATGTTTTAAGATTTTTTTAGTTTTCCTAAAGACCCTAATCTTAGCAATAAGTGGTTACATCTTAGTAAGAGGAAAGATAAACTTAATATAAAAAACCTTTCCCGCAAGATTTGTGCCAAAAATAACAGAGACCAATTTTACAGCGAAAGTAACGCGTAAAGTAAAGATACATGAAATTAGTCATTTTATATTTTTTAATATTTTTCTGATTCGAATCTTAATAAATTTCTTTTGTATTAAACATTTTGCTGCAGCTGTTATAATAAATGCGTTACAGAAAAAATAAGCATCCCCTCTCCCTAATGAGAGTCAGGCTATGAGTGAAGTCATGCGCATGGCAGACGAAAACTGAACACGGGAGCATCCGGCCCTAGGTAGTATTGGTGTGGAATTTACCTAATCACTTTGGTCGAGATTTCGGTACTATATAGTTAAAATAAGTAGTGAAAATGAGTGAGGTAGTTAATGTTCAACAATGTTCTTTCGAAATAAATTTGGACAAACAGAAAACAGGAAAACAGAAGCGTTGTCACCTTTCTAGTGATGCCAACGAAACAGTTTTAAACGTTTATTCTGATGAGTAGTTATAAAAATTATTCCCATAATATGAATCTAAGAAAAAGCCTTGAAAAACAAGCCTTGAAAAAAAGCCAGGGAAAAAACATTTTGTGCATGTAAAATTATTAGACGGAGAGCTGGCGACACAAAGACTCGGTAAAGTCAAAATTTTGTTATTTACAGTTTCGATTGTTACCAACATAGCGAGAAGCGGGCAGTCAGAAGTCAAAACTGAAAACTGACATCAGGATCATCCTTATATAGCTTCTCAAACCTTCTCGAACTGTCATCTAGAATATTCTTGACGGGTAATGACATTTCCAGACATTTCTTCTTTTACTTATAACGATCGCAGCACATAGTAGGGCGATGATTAATATTCCACTTCTTTTTCTATCTGTACGTTTCCTATAATAGCCACAGGCTACTACAGGGTGCTCTTTCCTCTCTAGTTATTCGCCCCGAATAACTTGATTACTGGGACCTAGTTCGAACTAATGGAGAGGATCTGGACCATGGAATGGAGCCATCTTCCCACGCCTGTCGATTCTAGCTTCTGCTTTATCGGTGTGGGCTTTCAGTCGTTCCCGAGCGAATCCATACCAGCATTGTTTCTGTAAACGGGGTTGCCCGAAGAGAATGTCTGCGTTGTTATGGAGGCCTCTTCGATGCTCTACTTTCTGGTTATTATTGAAAGCCGACTCGGTATGGGTGATTGGCTTCTTCGGGACGCATAGCTGCTGTAATTAATTCTTCTTGAGCTTAGTGATGGACTTGGGAAGATTGATCTATATGATTTTCCGGTCTCTTTCACTGATTCTTGATTTAGGGTGGCCCTTAGTTACTCTTGGTAAAAAAAAAGAATTATTTTTTTTGCGCTACCTCCCCGTTTGGTGCTATTAGATGAATAAAAAATCTGTGCAAAATTTCAGCTCTATCTGATAAAGGGAAAGGGTGCCCCAAGAGCCTTGAAAATCGAAAATATCTGTTTTATTTCTTATGTTGAAAAATATTAATTACATGCAAAAAAGTATTATACAAAAGTTCTAGATCTATAAAAAAAATACATTTTTGGATCTAGCACTGAAAATCACTTCTTTTGCTACAAATCCACGCTCTGTAACACAGAACGAAAGTTTATAAATCAACAATAAACGTTTTACCAAAGCGGGGTGTGACAAACCAAATAAAAAAGAGGGGATAAGGAAACGTGTGGTGGCTCAAATTTGTCTCAACTCAACAGGGTATCTATTCTTGAATCTCAGGGAGTAGAAATTTTGAGGGAAGAATGAGACAAAAATACAAATTTTGCGCGTTGCAGATAAAGAGGCAAAACCGGTTTTCTATTCCCTCGAATTCAAGAATAGCTACCCAGGTCGAGAGTCAGTTCTCTACTGGAATTTTGCTGAGTGAGAGCAAGTTTTCACGTCACGATGTGTTCTACTTCTACTCGTTTACGTGAAAAAATTTATTTATTCGGGCATTACTCGCATAATATAACTGGATGTAAATTGCCATCAAATAAACAGGTATTAAGTGTATTATTTTTTAATCTTCGGGTAGTGAAGTTAACTTTACGTGAAAGCGCCAGACTAGTTTTAAAATAAGTGCTAATTGTTTGGGAAAAGGCACGAATTCCATCTCAGGAGATGAGAAACTGTATACCAAAACTAGAAAATATGTACCAAGAATGGAGACAACTTCAAAAACACTCTGGAAGACTATCGAAGACTGAGAAAAAAAAGAGGAAAAGTTTATATCGAAACTCGATGATCTTTTTGACAATGCATTGAACATGATTTCTATTGAAGAAGATAAACAATTTTTAATTAATCAAAGTAAAAAGGGACGGCCAGGATTTATGTACGGAATCGATTCAAGGAATTTCAAATAACAACAAAAAGAGAAATAAGAATTATGGAACGAAGAGAGGCAGACGTGATGAGAAAAGAGCAAAGCGACCGTGAAGTTGAACAAATGAGTAAGTATGCAAAATTTAATTATATTTCATACAGGAAATTTTTGCTTGTTATTGTTAATTTTTTTATTTCATATCAATAAATCTCTTCTTCTGTTTTTAAGTGCAAACTGCCGAATTGGTCTTAACCTCAAGCAGCAGTTTAGAATCAGATGTGAGTGTAGTACCAGTTGCTGGAACATCCACTAATATTGTGATAGAACATACTTCCCCTGAAGATATGGAATTTGCATCCCTTTTATCAGAATCACCAAGAGCAAAAAGCAAGAGAGAATTTCGTAACATAACGACAACTAAGCTATGTGCGGCTTTAGATAAATGTAAAATTTCTGACAAGGATGCAGTTCATATTCTGATTGCTACAATCGAGGCATTGGATCTTGATGTCCAGGAGTTTATCATAAGTTCTATTCATTTTTATAGAGAAAATATACGCAAAGAGAAGGCATCTAAAATTAAAAAGTACTTCAAAGACACTAAATTACAAGTTGCTGTCGTGCATTGGGATGGTAAATTACTTCCAGCATTAACAGGTAAAGAGATCGTTGATAGACTTCCGGTGATTCTTTCTAACGGCGATACAGAGCAACTTCTTGGAGTGCCTGTATTGCAATCTGGAACTGGAAAAGAGAAGGCATCTGATGTTTGTGAAACTCTCGCTGAATGGGGTCTCCACTAAAAAGCATTCGTTTTCGATACGACAGCAACGAATACTGGAAGTTTTAGAGGTGCATGCGTTTTAATAGAAAATATGTTAGAAAAAAATCTTTTGTATTTTGCTTGTAGACATCACGTGTATGAAATTATTCTTAGAAGCGTTTTCGAAAAAAAGATGGGTAAAACTACAAGTCCGACTCGACTGTCTTAATGTTTAAGAAATTTCAAAACGCTTGGCCAAAAATCAATGTTTATAATTTCCGATCTGGGATTGAAAACGAAAAGGTCGCGAGAAACTTGAACCAGGGCGATATATCTCGAATTCTTGACTTTGTTAGAAATACTTTAGGCGAATAGCAGCCTAGAAAGGATTATAGGGAACTTTTAGAATTAATCGTTATTTTTCTTGGCGAAACACCCCCTCGTGGAATATCTTTTCGTGTTCCCGGAGCCTTCCATCATGCGAGGTGGATGGCAAAAGCTATTTATTGCGTAAAAATCTTTCTGTTTCGTGATGAATTTTAATTATCAGAAACAGAACAAAATGCACTTTGTGATATTTGTATTTTTATTGTGAGTATGTATATCGAAGCATGGTTTTGTGCGCCTCCTGCTGCCAAAGCACCGTATCAAGATTTCACGATTCTTTCAAAACTTTTTGCATATCAAGCTATCGATCGTGATATCTCTCAAGTTGCTTTACAAAAACTAAGCAATCATTTATGGTATTTAAGCCCTGAAGTTGTCGCATTAGCTCTCTTTGATCCAAATGTGCCATTTGAATCGAAAATAAAAATGGTCAATGCTTTAAATCGAGAGAATTTTTCAAAAGATTTGAATTGGATGATGAATTCCTTATGACAGATTCGCCGACGTGGCATCAAAATGAATGTTTTGTAAAAGGTCTGGAATTAGTGAATAAATTGAAAGTTGTAAATGATTCGGCTGAGAGGGGGGTGAAGCTTATGAAAGATTATAATAAATTATTTACGAAAAA